GTTCACTGATATTTGAATTTGTCCAAGGTTTTCAGTAGATGCACATATGGTATCAATTTCAAAACCCCGCATCACCTCCTTCTCCAGTTATTCATTCACAATCTTGGGTGTCCATGCTGTCCACCTGCCTGCCTGGCGGGGTGATGACAATAACCCATCAGCCTTTTGCAACTGAGGGGTAAAAAGTGAATTTCGCTTTCTTCTTAAGAACATTTTAAATTATGTAAATCAGAAATCTAAAGATATTAAATGCATGGTGGTGCTGTGGTCAGTGCTGTTCCCTCACAGCAAGAAGGTCCTGACTTTGACTCCAACCTTGCTTCTGTGTGGAGTTTGCATGGGTTCTCTCCAGGTACTCCAGTTTCCTCCAACAGTCCACAGACATGCAGTTAATGACGTTGTGTTAATTGGTGAGTCTAAACTGAGTTGCGAGTGTTGCTGGTTGTCTGTCTCTCTGTGTTAGTCCTGCATCAGACTGGTGACCTGTCCAGGGTGTACCCTGCCTCTCACCTATGATAACTCCAGCAAACCTGATAAGGATAAGCGGAAGAGAAAGGATGAATGGGTGCAATTTTACAAACAGTGTTTATAAATGTATTTAAACTCTATCACAGCAGTCCCCAACCCCCGGGCCACGGACCGGTCCGTGAGTCATTTGGTACCGGGCCGTGAGAGTGAGACTCGGGTGTGAAATGTATGGTTTTCAGGGTTTTTATCGGTTTTTAGTGTTATTTTGTTATCTTTTTTTTTCTCGTTAACTCGGTTTTCCTGGGTCTTTTCACGTGTGTTATGAATAAATCTTATTTTTTTCGGTACCAGTACTAGTTTTATTTTGTTGTATTTATCCACGACACCTTAAAGGCCGGTCCGTGAAAATATTGTCGGGCACAAACCGGTCCGTGGCGCAAAAAAGGTTGGGGACCGTTGCTCTATCAAAATCCTTTTGTAATGACACCAAAGTTTAACGTGGTTCTCTTCAGGACACTGACTGTACCACCAGAACATGATTTGGAAGATAACTAATCTATGAACATAATTTCTGTGACAGAGATTTGTAATTGTGGTATAGGAAGTTACTACTACTTATCAGAGGGTTTATGGTTTGATCTGCAGTTCTTTCAAGCCTCATTTGTATTATTGTGGTGTGGAATTAGCTTTTGGACGGATAAAAAATGTGTAGGATAAAAGCGCTATACAAATGTGCGTGAAATGGTAAAAGTGGTTTGTGGTGCAAAAGTGCTTCAGGTGTTTGATAAGACTGGAAAAAGGCTTCAAAGGCTTCAAAATACAGTAGCCAATAAAGTGATAAGTGGGGTGAAGATGGCAAGAAATATGCTTTTCTGGAGAGTGGATGTGCACTGAAGGACGGAATTGAACAGCAGTGCATCCTGATGCGCTGATGTGCTTGAAATTACAGTGACGCACATCGTGACTCCACCAGTGTGAGGCTATAAAATATTTGCTGCACAAACTGCTTGAGTGAGTTTACCTAAACTCTCTTTCTTACAGATTTAAACAGACCAAACGCAGCTACTGTAAATGAGCCAAAACTGAAATTTCTGTCTTTGTTTATATAAAAATCTCATCTTTCAAGTGTTTTTCAAAGTTCATTTATACAATATAATAAGCATATTATCAAGGTAAGTTTGCTGTTAGCCAAATTTATATCTTTCTAGCGATTCGTTTTTAATAACAATAGCCAAATTTTTGGTAATGGTAACTGAATGGTCAGACATGTCATTGGTCAGCTGCAATGCTGATCCTGGATCAACTTTATTATGATGATATAGGAACAACAAGAGCATGGGGATATCAGTGCGTACTCACATATGCAAATGACGCCCACGTTTACATGCAAATAAAGTCCAAGAACTACTCCGATGTCAAATCTGGAAGCTTTTGTAAGTAAACCAAACTACCAAAACGACTGTATCAGCCTGCAATGATGTGAAAATATATAGTGTCACTGTATACAACACTGTTATTTGCTCTGAACAGCATGTTCCTCAGATCCATTTCATCGCTTTTACTGAGCTTTTTGTTTTCAGCATGTTAAACAAGTGTTTTGAACACACTGTCCATAAATGCTATTTTTTGATTGAGTTCTATGAATTTATTATTGTTGGCCACAATATCTTCCTGTTCCTGTTCTCCCTTATTTATTTATTTGTTTATTTTTGTTGCTTGCATATTCTATTTGATTGACTAATGATAGTTACACGCTGAACTGGTCTGATCTGAAGGTCAGAACAGAGGCCCAAGAGTTGTTTTCTACAGCTTTATTAGTTACTAGGAGTAAATATGACACAGCAGCAACTGCAGTAATTATGATAAATACTGAGGCAGAAAATTAGTCAACCAGAAGGCAGCGCGGCTATTAGCCCTGGCTGTGCGAGAGCAGTGTGGCAATGCTAATTTTAATTGACTACACTGGAAGCCCTGCATGTGTCTTGCTGTGCACAATGAAAATGTGCAGCAGCCATGAGTGAAGAGACTCATGATCACCTTTTGAGATACAGTGACGTAAACACACCAAGCAGGCTGGCTTTAAGTAAGAACTCAGTTTCACCGATAACAAAAACACTTGCAAACGTTAGTGTAGCATTTTCCATGCCATTCTTCCTGTTTTTGTGTCATCTCTCTTCAAAATAAAGTAAAAATAATATTTAAAGTACAAATAATAATCATGTCAGAGGTTTACATTTCATTTGGACATCCACAAAGAATTGACCATGTGAGACAAAACTGATGTGGATTTGTCTACATGTTTCAGTTTTAACTCCATTAGTACTGACTTAAGGTAACACGTTTAACAGCATACAGCAAAATGTCCCCTGCATAATCACTTTAACTACAAACTGACATCTGGTCTTTGGATTTTAATATGATATCAGGTTCTGCAGCACTGACCAACTAACGTTTGGTTTATCTCTGTCTTTAATCGGTTAACGTCAGCTTCCACTGAAAAAGAGACGTTGCTCTAGCTGTCAGCTTTTACAGTCAGAATTGTGATCTGAATGCACTGTGGTGCTAAACTCAGTTTGCTTTTACAAGAACAGCTACATAGAGTCTCTACAGGCTCCTCTTGTTCATGTGAATCTTTTATCTGTTGATTTATTTATTTCTATTTCTGAGTATTTCAGTTATTACATTATATGTGGTACAGTATGAGCGCGTAGCACTCATAGGAAGCGGGGGGTGGGGAAATATGGGGCAAATATAATAAAAGAATAGAGTACAAATGGAAATGCACAATGTATCGCCAACTGCTGCTCCTTTAAGAAAAACACAAACATGCAGCACACACAAAAATGAAAAATACACATATACATAAATCAACAATTTTCTTGTAGCGTTAATGAGTGTGTCAGAGAGAGAGTGTGTTACAATGCCTGTGTCTTTGTCACAAATGTAATTGCTAATGAGGGTGGGAAGCCACAATAATGCCTCCCATGAGCCAGAAGCAGACAGAGATGGAACCAGAGATGGACAACTGCGCTATCTGCAGCCCCCAAGAGTACCTTAGACCTGTGGCCACACATCTCGGTGACAACTGCACACCCATCCCAGCAGGAGAAGGATTGAGGCCTCAGATGGGATGCCCACGACCAAAGGGTGAGAGTCTCAGAGGCAATGGGCAGTCAACCCTGCCAGAGGCTGGCCACCCTGGTGCAAGCTGAGAAGAGAAGAGTTGAGGGTCCCAGGCAGCCTAGAACTATCCCGCACCTGCCAGAGCCTGCTGACAAAGAGGAGGTCTAAGCCACACCCAGCCTCCAAGGGAGCGGGCCAAAGTCCACACCAGAACATCCAGCCATGTACCCCAGAACCAACAAGCAACCTCATCCCAAGGAGGGGCAGAAGGGTCCAGCAGGGCGCAGGACCATGTTCCACAGGGGAAAAGGCATACAGTCCCCTGCATAATCACTTTAAGTACAAACTGACATCTGGTCTTTGGATCTTAATATGGCATCAGGTTCTGCAGCACTGACCACTGTCTTTATTTGGTTAACATTTGGTTTCTTTGCAACAGAGACGTTTCTCTGTGTATTTTATCATATCAAACACTTTGTTGTTCAGAATGATATATGTCGTGTCATCCTCTACAGACACACAGCAAGCAAAATTCTGCAGGTATTTAGGTTTGCTTCAGTTGTTTTTGATGTCTCCAGTGCACAATTCAATGATGTCTATGTAAATGCTGTCATGTTCAATTACCTGCTCGCTGCCAGTTGAGTGCATCAAATAAGTCTAATTTCTAAGATGTGAGCTGAGACAATGAATAACAAAACTGTACTGTAAAAAAAAGAAAAAGGTTATCCATGCACCCATGCATCCATTCTATTAATCGCTTCTCCAAGTCAGGGTCACAGGAGGCTGCAGCCTGTGAGGGTAAGAGGCTAAATAGGATGAATAAAACATGAAATAAGAGGCAAATAAATTCTGATTCATTTACATATTTATCCCTGCACTAGCTATTTAGTGAAACAGATACAATTTAAGAATTGTATAATAGAAAAAAACATTTTATTCTGACATAGAGTACACACACACACACACACACACACACACACACACACACACACACACACACACACACACACACACA